CTCTCTGCGCTCCATTGTGGTGACCAACTATGAGGAGACCATCAAGATGCCCATTAATGAGCCCGCAATGGGCAGGAAGAAGTCCCAGATCCAGGTGCGGCCCTGCCTGGCTGGGGAAGGAGAGAGGAGGGAAGAGGCTTGAGGCCTCTGGCAGGGCAGGGCAGGGGTGTGGGGAACAGAAGCAATGACAGGGGCCTCCTGTTCGCCTTTCCCAGGAATATGTGGACTATAATGGGGGAGCTGGAGTCCAGCACATTGCCCTGAAGACCCAGGACATCATCACAGCGGTTAGAACACCATCCCTGGTCTTAAGCCCCCTTCCTTCAGCTCCAGGGATGGTCTCTGCAGAATGGGAAGGGTGGGGGCAGTGGCATTCTGGGTTCCCTTCTCCAGCCTGGAGGGCTGACAGGGTTCCCTGCCTGGTTCCTGCAACTCCTGTGCTAGTAATCCCAATCCACCTCACTCAGAAGAGTTTGGTGTCTCTAGCACACTCTGGCTTTAGTGGTGACAGATGCCAGAGGATAAGGAAGACTGCATCCTGCTCCCAGATCTACAAGACCCTTGCCATTTGTCTCTGGGGCACTCAGCAGCCTTCCTGGGCTTCAGCTGCCTCACCTCGAAAATGAGGATGTTATTCTATAAGATGAGACATGTCCTTTCCTCCAAATCAAGCACCCTGTGTCTATAGCTCTAGCCCTTGGGGAAGCCATGCTGCCCTCCTCTTGCCTAGGCCTTAAGGGGAAGAGCCTGGACTGTCCCATCCAATCCTGTGGAACTTCATTTGTATCATGCCTGTTGAGGCTCTGCCATGTGCTAGGTGCTATTTTAGGTATGTGGGACACATTAGTAACAGTTTCTGCTCTTATGGAGTCAAAAAGCAAATTAAATAAATAGGTGGTGTGAGAGGTCTGGAAGAACAGGTGGGATATGGAGGAGCAAGGGTGGGTCTTTTCACCTTTAAAGTGGTTGAAGGAAGGTCACATGGGGAAGGAGACTTTTGAGAATGCAAAGGATTGGAAGGACAGAAGCCCATGGAAATCTCCAAGAAGGACCATGGGCAGGAGGGATGGCTCAGGCAAAGGCCCTGAGATGGGCATCTTCCAGGAAGGTTGCAGTAACAGCAAGGATATCATCAGTGTGACTGGAACTGAATGAGCAAGGGAAAGAGAGGTGGGAGATGGAGTCTAAGGTGGAAGTGGGGGCAGCTGGTGAGGGCCTGGCAAGAACCTGGAATTGGACTCTGAGAAGAGGCACCACCCCGAGGTAAGCACCGAGTGGCATGATTTGGCCTGTGTTTGAATAAAATCCACTCTGGCTTCTCTGCTGAGAACAGATACTTAAATCTCTCGATGCCTCAGTTTCCCAGCTATGAAATGCACAGAGCAGGATTGCTTCAGGGACAGGAGGAGGCAAGACTAGAAAGACAGCCACATAATGGGTGCTCTGTGAATGTCATGGATCCCTGCTCTAATGGGATTCAGACAAGGACAGAAGGGGCTGAGGCCACACTGCATCTTGGCACTCAGGAGAGCAAGGACAGGGATCCTGCCTCCTCATGGCCCAGCAGCTCTACCTGGCTTAAGGACACTGAGCCTAGAAAGACAGAGGCTGACTTCAACCTGCTCTAAGACAGATTCGTAGCCTGAGAGACCGAGGCCTGGAGTTCTTGAGTGTTCCGTCAACCTACTACAAGCAACTTCGGGAGAATCTCAAGACAGCCAAGATCCGGGTGAAGGAGAGCATTGACGTGCTGGAGGTGAGGCCCAGCGGGATGCTAGGCCACTGGCAACATGAGCCCTGAGTTCCATCTGGCCTCCCCCACCCTGCAGCAGACACAGGCACACAGAGGGAAAACCAGAAAGAAACAGAGTATGTGTGTGTGTCGTTGCCATATAAAGTTAAAACAGGCAACCTAGGGCTACGTTAATGGCGAACTTTCTGAGAAGGTGACTTTAATTGAAAGCTATATAATAAGAGGGACCTGGCCAAGAGGAGTGCTAGGAAGAGCATCCCAGCAGAGGGAAGAGCAGGTGCAAAGGTGATGGGGTGGGAGCAAGCTCCAAGTGCTTGAGGAGCAGGAAGAAGGCTCGTGTGGATTGAAGACAGCATCTGAGAAGAGGTGTACCAAGGCAGGTAGGCGGTTCCACTTGGGGACTCTTACGACGGGATTTTGCACTTCTTTAGCCACAAAGCATTGAAGTTTTATGTTTTTGTTTTTGTTTTTTGTTTTTGCTTATAGCAGCTTTTTTGGGGCATAGAAGTCACATTAAATGTTACCCCATTATCTATATGCTAAAATCAAAACAAATTTTAGATTTTTTTTTTTTTGTACAAGGTATTGAACCCAGGAGTGCTTCACCACTGAGCCACACCTCCAGCCCTTTCTATATTTTATTTACAGACAGAGTCTCACTGTGTTGCTTAGGACCTTGCTAAGTTGCTGAAGCTGGGTTTGAACTCGTGATCTTCCTGCCTCAACCTTCAAGATGCTGGGATTACAGGCGTATGCCACCATGCCCAGCTCAAATTAAGAACATTTTCATTTTTCCCCAAAGAAACCCTGATCCTCTTAGTTGTTACCTCCCAAACCCTGCACTTCACTCCTCCTCCCCCAACTTTAGGCAACCACTAGACTCTCTTTGGTCTTACAGATTTGCCTAGTCTGGAATTTCATATAAATGAAACCATACAACATGTGATCTGTTATGACTAGGTTTTTTCACTTAGTATAAAGTCTTCAAGGTTCATCCAGTTTTAGCCTAAGTCAGTACTTCATTTCTTTTTTTTTTTTTTTTTTTTTTTTTTTTTTTTTTTTTTTTTTTTTTTTTTTTTTTTTTTTTTTTTTTTTTAGAGAGAGAGTGAGAGAGGAGAGAGAGAGAGAGAGAGAGAGAGAATTTTTAATATCCATTTTTTAGTTCTCGGCGGACACAACATCTTTGTTGGTATGTGGTGCTGAGGATCGAACCCGGGCCGCACGCATGCCAGGCGAGCGCGCTACCGCTGAGCCACATCTTCATTTCTTTTTGTGTGTGGAGTGCTGGGGATTGAACCCAGGACCTCACACATGCTAAGCAATCCTTCTAACGGAACTCCCTGTCTCTCGCCCAGGAGCTGAAAATCCTGGTGGATTATGACGAGAAAGGCTACCTCCTGCAGATCTTCACCAAACCTATGCAGGACAGGCCTACACTCTTCCTGGAAGTCATCCAGCGCCACAACCACCAGGTAGGCCCTGAGCAGGGCCTGCAGGGAGCACCATCGGCTTTCTGGGTCCCCAGCTCACCTGCTGTCTCCCACTCCAGGGTTTTGGAGCCGGCAACTTCAACTCGCTGTTCAAGGCTTTCGAGGAGGAGCAGGCGATCCGAGGCAACCTCACAGATCTGGAGACCAACGGGGAGGTGTCCGGCATGTAGGCCYCGCCCACCGAAGGCCAAGCCCCTAGTACTGCAACACGCCCACCCTCTCCGCCCTCAAAGTCAGATCCGAGGGTCTCGCTTCCGCATTTAGACCCCAATCGACTTCGGGATCCAAGGCTCCGCCCACCGCTGACCACGCCCCCCTGGTTGAGCGACTCTTGCGATTAAAGTGGACCTGGTCCAAGGCGGGGTGTGGAGTTTGTGCCCGGGAGGAGCAGTGGCGCCCCTTCGCCACGAGGGGGAGGCCAGCGCCACGGCATTTCGGAGGCATCTGCCTTAGGGGATCCCCGCGCTCTGCGACCCGAGCTGGCGTAGGGTGGGGTGCAAGCGCTTTGCTAAGCGGGACTGCGCTGGCCGGGGGGATTTCTGGAACACGGGGAGCCTACAATCTAGAGGAAAGGACGGGTAATACCGTTTCCTAAAAGACAGTCAAGCAGGTCTGAGGTTGAGAGGCGATGGAGGTGGGAGGAGGACTAATTCAATCGAGGGAAAGCCCCTCTGAGAAGGTGACTTTGGGGAGCCGCAGAGGGAAATCGGGGAAAGCGTTTCTCTGGTAAAGATAGCGGCAAGAGATAAGGTCCTGAAGTGGGACAGAAGGTGGCAGCATCCAGACTGGTGGCTTTATGACTGCTAAAGATGCGCTGTCTTGGATTTGGTTACTGGGCGTCCAAACCTCTGAACAAGTGAGAGGGGAGAGTTAGCCAAGGTACTTTAGGGGCGCCATCCTTGCTGGGCAACCAAAGGACTCTGGACAGGTAGAAGGGATCTGAGCCTCTCAGCTTCTGCCCTGCACCCTCACGTGACAGTTCACAATGCCCCACCCAATGCCACTACACCCGCCCTTGTCCCCAGTGAGAAATACTTTTAGAAAGGGGCTCTTCATACTCAACCACCAGCGACCCTTGCAAAAGAATGAGGCAACTGGTCCTAAAACCCTTGAGAGGCAAGTATTTCTTCAAAATCAAAGAAGAGGGGGTTAGGGGAGTAGCTCAGCAGTAAAGAGTTTGCCTAGAATGTGTGTGCAAGGCCCTGGGTGCTGTCAGTCCCCAGCACAGCAAAAACAGACAAACAAACAAAAAATCACGCAGCAAAGAAGAGATGGGTGGGGGGCAAATTTGGTCTCTTTCTTCTTCTTTTCATGTTGACATCCCTCCCTGAATAAGAGTCAACTCAAAACTAGGTACAGGTGGATGGATCTCCAGGCAGGGGAAAAAAATCTGAGATGGTATTATGGGGGAAATTGAGAGATTTTTTTTTTCAGATTAGAAAAAATATCAGGGTTTCTGGGATCATGAAATTCAAAAATGAAAAGAACATGGGAGAGAATCAAGATGAACAGGGGCCAGGCCCATGCAAAAATAGTCTCCCTCTATTCTCCCATGACTTATGCAAAGGGAAATTCTATAACCCAGAAGGCGGCAGATTGGTGGCTTCTAGGCTAAATCTGGCCCATAGATGTATTTTATATTGTCTGCATGGTTTCAAACAAGTTTGCAACAATATTGTAGAAAGTTGTGTTCTTTTATATACAGACTCTGGTTCTTTCTGGAGCAGTCAGAGGACTCAGGCTTGCCTTCCTATGCAGCAACAGGCAGCTGGTGCTAAGTGTAGGTGCCTCTTTAGATTCATCTGAAGGTTTGGGTTCTGGGCAGAGTAATCCCCCGTTAGCTGGGCTCAGACTAGGGAACCAGACTGCCAGGTTCACATCCTGATCATCGCTACCTGTATGACCTTGGCATGCTACCTGGCTTCTCAGTGCCTGTGTTTCTTCATCTCTTGAACAGTGCTGAGAGCTGCCGAGTTTCATATCAAAGGTGTGGCTTGCACAGTGAGGAAATGTGTTTTTATTCCTGGAAAAGGGACTGGGTGAGGGACTCCTGCCCAAGTCTGCCTGGAACCCCCACCCACCTCTCCCTTGGTCAGATATACACACATCTCAATTTGGGGTTCTCCTTTTAGCCCGCTGCTGTGGAACCAGTGGAAGAGCCTTACTCAGCAGGATGATGGGAGATCAGAGGGAAAGTGGATAGATCTGAGGAATAACAGAATCACCACCAGATCTGGGAGGGGAGAGGAGGGGAAAGGTAGAATCCAGGATGGCTGGACTTAGACAGCAGCAGAATGTGAGTGAAGCAGGACATAGAGGTGCCATTGACTAAGCTGGAAAATTTGGCAGGAGGAACAGTTTCAGAATGCAAGGTATTATCTATTTTTTTTTTTTTTTTGTATTCAGATGAGTTTCCTCCATGTACCTAGGGCTGGACCCCTGTGTTACTGTTACGTTCCCCTGTAAGGCCCAGCGCCGTCTGCCTCACCTACTCGATACCTCTCAGATTTATTTTTTTACCCCCTTGCATGTCAGGTTTAACTTCTGACAGTGGACACTTGGGCCCAGGGCTTATGTGCCTTTTAAATCCCTGATGTCAATCTTAATGTTTCCTCTTAAAGGTTACAACAGTTAACATTTCCACAATGATGCCCCAGTCTCCTTGCCTTGTGCCAACTGCCATGGGGTATTTTGCAATTTCCAATTCTGGCCAGCTTGTCAGGGAAAAAGAGTGCTGTCCACACTTCTCTAGTAAGAGAGGCTCCACATCTTTTCAGTCAGGTTGCTTTTGCTAAGATTCCAAGACTTTCCTTCATGGAAATACCCTGGACACCATCTAACAAACACCACAGGCCCCTTGTCACCCTGTCGGGGCATCAAGCAGATCCAGGCCCAGTGGCCCTGGAATGCCACAAACACTGGGCACACTCTCTTCTCAACTTGTGGTATTTTATCTGTCTCTTCTTCCTCTCAGTTGCAGTCCAGAGGGATGTCTCCCAACATGGTTGAGGAACCACCTTTCCAGGTACTTCTGGTGACAGTAAGATACTTGATTTTGTTTCCTTAGCTGCAGACTATTAGCAGCATTAGATACAGGAGTTGTTCTGCTTGTTTTGGCAGAACAACTAAAATTGAAAAGCACCTAAGAAAAAAATCTACAAGAAAAACTTAAAATATGTATAAGGTCTTATCTGACTATAATTTCGTCCAGTTTATAGACTCCACTTACAGGCTCAGAGTTTAAGAACGATGGTCTGAATGAACCACACCATACCCTCTTCCAGTTCCTGGCCAGCCTGCCCTCCTTGTGAGCAGGGTGTACTCCCAACAGATAGAAAAAAAAAATGAGGAGGATAGGGAGAGAGAGGAGAGCAAGAGAGACGGCGTATCTGTAAGAAAAGTCAGTATATTTATGGTTTGCTTTATAAAAGTTACTATAATACAATGGTACATAGTATTGAATTCACAAAAATATGAACAAATATTTACAGCAAGACACACCCACAACGGAAACACTTCTCTTCAAAACAAGTTACATACTGATGGATGACAGAGTCTATACGTACAAACATCTCTAAAACTTATTCTCTTTGCTGGGGGAGGGAAAGAAGAAGAAAGAAGGGAGAAGGCAGAGAAAAGGAAAAAAAAAAAAGCAGAAACCCCCAACACTTCAAAAGCAGAGAATCTGTTCAATGAAAACAAAGGCTTTGAGAGAAAAATGGGCCAACACACATGTGGATTATTGCAAAGCATCCTGGGGTGGGGCGGGGGTCCTGGGGAAGATGGGGGCCCAGTCCCTCGCCATTGGTCAAGGCTGGCCAAGCATTAACACAGCCTCCTTGCTGGGTGAGGGGAGGCACAGCAAGGGCCGAGGTGGGCCCTCCCTGAATTCCTCACATCCCCCACTTTTCTTTTATGGAGGCGGAGGGGAGAATGGAGGCAGCCCCTTGGGGGCTGTACAAGTAACTTAAATCGGCTCTCTCTACAAACTACACATTTCTTCATGTGAAAAATAAATATTTCCTCGGTTGCACCATTAGGCAGAAAACTGCAGACGGAAGAGAAGGTCGCCGCTGTGTCCAGGTGCCCCCCTGTCTTAATGCCATCGATTTCCTTGACCTTGGAACCGGTGGGCATAGTCTCAAACAGAGGGCCTGCGGTGAAGAAATTAAAAAAAAAAAAAAAGAAAGAAACCACACACACACACACACACACACACACACACACACAACAAAACCACAACGACAAAAAAGAGAAAAATAACAATTCTTTGTACAGAATTTACATGATAACAAGCTTGACACAAGCTGAGATACCAGAGGCTGGCAGCCTGGGCCGCGGTGGGCGCGGCTCCCACCCAGCGCTCCCCTTGGTGAGCACCTGGGTCACAACAGTCAGTTCCAGAGATTATTTACACGCCTGCTCTGCTTTCCAGGGGGCGGGGGACTTGCATTCGTGTCTTTTTTTTTTTTTTTTTGGAAGTACAAAGAAATGAGCAAAAGTCTTCCCACATGTTTCTACAAGAAACAAGTTCCCGAGAAAAAGTCCTTTATGGCAGTCTATATACAAAGTTGGTTCTGAACTTCAAAAACCTATTTTTTCCCTTCGTTTTGATTTTATACACGCACTAGAAAAAAAAAATTCATGGAAATAAACCCTGAAAAGGATGAGAAGGGAGGRGGAGAAAGGGTAAAAAGGGAAAAAAAAACCACTGTCAAAGACTTAGATCCAAGTTTTAAAATCTTTCCCAAGATTTTTCTTTCTCTGGGAGAAATAACCTGCTCACTCCGAAAATAAATATGCTCTGGCCTTGGGGGGTGGCCAGGGGTGGGAGGTGGGGAGGAGGATGTGGGCTGGGTGGCGGGTGAAGCTTATGAACGAAAAATGCCACATGCATACGGTTAGACAGCCCGTAATGGTGGAGGGGGACCCCTGCCCTGGGAGCCCCCTTAGCCTGCGCGGGTTGAGGGCAGTGGAGAGTGGAGACCCCCCTTGCCAGTGCCCCCCACGCTGGGCCCCAGGGAAGCCCCCTCATTGCTGGCATCCGAATGAGAAAGTAAACATTGAGCCCAAGGATTTGGGGGGCAGGGAGTGCCCAGGGGACCTTCCTGCCTGGGACCAGCTTGGCTCTCCCAGGCCCCAGGGAAGGGACAGACTGGGGAGTAGCTCAGGGGAAGAGGTGGGGTCTCCTCACTGCGTTCACTGGCAGAGAGGGGGCCTTTCGGCATTGTAGTGTCGAGGTCAAGGCCACTGGCCCGGCCCTTCCTCCCAGCACCTGGCCCGGTCTGCCCAGAGGGTGCAGGGACCCTCCGTCCTAGAGGCCTCTGGCCCCACCGGGTCCCCCCTCTCTGTTCTGCCTTCACATTTCAACGGTTAAAATGTCTTTTCTTATGACAGGGAGGGAAATAAAAAGAAGACAAAACCACATAGCAGCATTGACGGGAGAGGCGGAGGATGGGGTAGGAAGGAGCACAAGAGAGCCACGGGGACGGGGACACCGAGGGAGACAGAAATGGCGTCTGGCTAAACGCACATCTGGAAAGGAGCATTTCTTCAACAATGAGAGAGACACGATGGAAAGACAGAGAAGCCCTTTCCCGCTGCGGGGCTGGAGCTGCGGGCGGGTCCTGGGGTAGTGTTGGGGGCGCCAGGCCCTGATGGCCGCGGGGGCAAGGGACAGCACCTGAAATGGGGCGGGAGGGGCCGGCCCGGGGGCCTGGGGTCCGGCCCAGGCGGCAGCAAACATCCTTCGAGTTTGGCGCTGGGGGGCCTAGTTGAGGGTCCCCCGGCAGTTCTCCGAGCCACAGAGGCAAGGGATCTTGACATCCTCGATGGGGAACTTGTAGTCATAGGTGATCTCCTCGTTCACGTTGATGTGCTGCTTAGAGTAGATGACGATCTTCTTCTGTGACTCTACCGTGATCACCTTGGCGTAGCAGTTGGGCTGTAGGGAGAAGCAGCACGGTGAGGCCCCCAGCCTCTCAAACCCAGCATGGCCCTGCCCACGGGCCAGCTGCTCCAGGCTCAGCCCACCCCCTCTCTGGGTGACAGGAACCCCTTGCCCCTGATAGTAAATAAAAATGATAACGATGACGATGATTTCCCAGGGCTTCTACTTCCTTTTCCATTTGTGCTATAGGCGACTCCTAAAAATCTCTCTGGCCCAGGCCTCACTACTTCTTTTATGTGTGGGACATTAGGGATTGAACCCAGGGGTGCTCTACCACGGAGCTACATCCCAAGCCCTGTTTTTATTTATTTATTTATTTATTTATTTTAAAGAGAATTTTTTTAATATTTATTTTTTAGTTTTCAGCGGACACAACATCTTTATTTGTATGTGGTGCTGAGGATCGAACCCGGGCCGCATGCATGCCAGGCGAGCGCGCTACCGCTTGAGCCACATCCCCAGCCCTTATTTATTTATTTTTAAAAAGTTGAGACGGGGGTCTTGCTAAATTGCCCAGGTTGGCCTTGAACTTGTGATCTCCTGTCTCAGCTTCCTGGTTGCTGGGATTATAAACATGACCAGGCCTTACTTTTCTGAGCTCTAGACAAGGTCAGCAAACTATAGGCCTCAGCTACCTGTTTTTTGTTTTTTTTTTTTGTGAATAAACCTTTATTGGCAAACAGCCACACTCACCCATCATTTGCTTATCACCCATGGTTGCTTTTGTTACAAGGGTGCAGTTAAGCCTGCTACAGAGGTCGTTTGGGGCTCAAAGACAAGAATATTGACCACCTGACCCTTTACGGAAGAGGCATGCCAGCCCCCATCCACAGTCAGAAACCCAGCTACCTGCTCAGGGCACATGCATTGGCTCATAGCTGATTCCTGATGGGCTCCTGCTCTGGCCCCTGAGCACCCAGCTCCTGGTGTCCTCCATCAGTGCCAGCTCTGCCCCTCCACCACGTCTAGGGGATTCTGTTGCCTAATGACCTCTGGAGTCTTGACTGCTGTTCCCTGTCTCTGATGCCACCAGTCACAGTCGGGCTCCCATCACCTCTCACTGCTCACCTGGACCACAACAGCCCTTGCTGCCACTCAGAGAATCAGCAGCCAGGGACAGTTTTCCCAAGGGATGGCAGATCTGTCACCCCATGGCTCCATACCCTCTAGTGGCTTGCCTAGGCCTTTTTTCCGTGTGCTACAGATTGAACTCAGGACCCAATTTGGCTTCGAGAGAAACTCCTCAGCTCAACCAATAAGCCTGTGACCCGGCATACAGACCTTCCCCCTTGTCCTCTCTCCCTCCTCTACCCACTATCCCCTTGCTGCCCCTCAAACAGGTGTTCTCCACATGCCCGCCCCAGGGCCGCTGGCCACATGTTGCCTACATAAGGTGATGTCCCCTTATCCCTCAGATCTCACAGGACAGTCACAGAAAAGGCTCTACTGGCTCCTCCAGCCCAACAGCGGTTAAAGCACCATCAGGAGGGCCAGTACACGCGGAGGACTCGTCACTGTCAGCACTTTCCATGGGCCACATGCAGTAGCACACTGGACTCTCCCAACAGCCTACATAAGAAGGGACTATCACAGTCCCTGTTCACAGATGAAGGAACTGAGGCAGTGAGACGTGGAGCAGCTGTCCCGGGGCAGCTCACTAGGCAGCACTGCCACAGCAGCCTGGGCCAGCCTGCTGCTGAGGGGAGCTTGGGCCGCGCTCCCTCCCCAGTCCCGAGCACCGTCTACTGTCAGGCTCGATATGACTAAATAAAATCGAAACTCAGTTTCTCAGTTGTACTGGCCACTCAAGTGCTCCAACCACACACAGCTGGCCCACACCAGAGGACAGTGCGGTCGATGTCACACCACTGTGTAAAGTTCTGGGACTGGGACGTAGCTCAGAGGTGGAGCACTTGTCTGGCATGTGTGAGGCCCTGAGTTCCAATCCCAGTACCATTAAAAAAAAAAAAAAAAAAAAAAAAAGACAGTTCTTTTGGGAGACTCTGTCCAGAGCATGAGCCTCTAGGGCTGCGCGGAGCCAACAGAGCCACAGAAAAGGCCCCAGACAGAGGAGCGATCCCAGAACACCACAGAACTGAACCAGCCTTTCTCTTTCCTTTTTTGAGTGGGGATTGAACCCACTGGGGTTTCTACCACTGAGCTACATCCCCAGCCCCTTTTATTTTGAGACAGGGTCTTGTTAAGATGCTGAGGCTGGTCTCAATTTGCAATCCTCCTACCTCAGCCTCCCAAGGTGCTGGGATTACAGGCATGTGCCACCACGCCCAGTGAACCAACCATTTCTTGAGCACCGTTAGTCCTCACACAGCAACACAAGTCTCACTGCGCTCATTTTACTGATGAGACACTGGGGCTTGGATGAGAAAAGTGCCTCCTATAGGCCACAGCTCCCCACACCCCCAGTTGACCTGAGTGTGGAAGGAAGCTGAGGTGATTCCTATGCTTGGGACTCCTAGGTGCCCAGCACTTCGGTCGGGCACAGACACCTCTTGTTGGACACTCACATTGCAACTGTGGTTAATGAAGCGTGCAAAGTTGCCGCACTTGGTGGCATCGATGATGGTGTCGTGGTCTACTCGGAACATGTAGCTGCTGCCGATGCCCTCGTCCTCATACCGTTTCTCCCGCATGTCTGCGATCACCTGGCCACAAAAGGATGTCAGTCTGGGTGGACCCGGGGCCCACCCTGTACCCATCCTGCCAGGCAGCACCTACCTGGCGGATGTTCTGGCCCACATACTCGATGACCATCTCATCAGCCGCAATGGGTTCCATGGCGAACAGGCCCCAGTCATGAATGTGGCTCTTGCAGAATTTGAGCTTTTTCTTCCGGAACTGGGGGAGGGAGTGAGTGAGAGGAGGGGTGAGGCTCTGGCCTCAGGTCCTGCCTCAGCCCCAGCTGCCCTGGGTGGGGCCCAGCCTCACCTTGAGCTGGTTGAACTTGAGTAGGTCGCTGTCACAGCTGCCAGTGAAGGAGGACAACAGGCGGCGCTGCTCTGAACGCCGCTCCGAGCCTGCCCGAGTGGAGGCATGAGGCTGCGCTGGGATGCTCATGCCCTGCCAAGCGCAGCACGGATATAGGTCAGCCCGGGACTTGGACTTGGCTGCTGGGGCTCGGTGGGCGGCCCACATCCTGGGACCTGAGGCAGCCCCTCCCTAAGCTCTTTGTTGTCCCCACTCCCCAGGTTCCTCCCTCTGGGCTCCTCTGGCCTGTCCACCCCTAATCATCAGGCTCTCTGCCTCCTCCTTCCCATCAGCATCTATATGTGTCCAAGTTTCTCCCACCTTAAAAACAACAACACAACTTCCCTTCAACCTTTGCCACTTTTCCTGACCTTAGCTAAGTTTTGCAGTATGCGAGGTGTCTGCCCTAATCCCTGAGAACCCCAGCAAGGCCCCCAGTGCCCCACACAGCTCCCTCCTTGCCGGCCTCTCGGCCTCTGCTACACCCCTGAACCCCGAGCTGCCAGGCCGGCTCCCCTCCTGCACGCTCTTGGAAAACCTGCTTTATCCTGATGACAGCTGTTTGGATCCCAGACCAGAAGTCCTAATCCCAAGCTCTGCTACTTACCTGGGTGTCTACACTGTCTGCTACACTTCCCTTCCTGGTGTCCCACAAACCCCACACTGAGGTTGTCCCAAAGTGAAGGTGCCATCTGCATGCCCACCTCAGGCTTGGCATCCAGCCCAAGCTGCAAGCCAGACCCTTAACTGCCCAACCAATTTCTTCCTTTCCAATCCCCAATCCAGGCCCAATTCTGTCCATCTGACTTCTTGACCAACCTCAAACACATCTTCTCTTTCCCTTGTGGCCCCCTGAGTCCAACCCACCCTCATGTCTGGCCCAAAACTGCAGCAACTGTATTGGCAGCTCCCCGGATCTCTGCACAGCAGCCCACATGAGCTTCAACCATCAGAGAGAGATCCGCAAGACCCCACCTCTCTCAACACCCCCCGGGGTTGCCAGCTGACAAAATACAAGTCTAAATTTGTCAACCCAGACCCCAGGGCCCTGACAACCTGTTCCCTACCTCTCTAGCCACAGCTGTCCCACTTACGCTGCTGAGCTCCCCCTGCCTTAGGACCTTTGCACATCCTACTTTATGCACAACCTCTGGGCCTTGTGAGCCCCTCTCCTGTCTCCTGTCTGCATACCAGCAACCCTTGTAGGACCAGCAACCCTTGTAGGACGGCTCCACCTGAGGCGCCAAAGGGGGCTCCCTGGTGCCAGTACCTGGGTGTCTGCAGGGGGCTCATCGGTGCTGGCGCGGCTACTGTTGAGGTATCTGAGCTTGTCCTTCTTGTCAATGGTGTAGAAGCCCTCGCTGCGGGCACAGCCTGTCACGTGCTCACGGATGCCATCATCGCGTTTCTTTTTCTTAGCTGAAGAGAGGCTGGTGGGTGGGTGTGGGTCAAGGGTCATACATTCTTAGAGAGCCCCTCAGGAGGCCTGTCCCAGCAGGTCCAGCCTTCCCAACCCCAGACCCATATCCTGGGGGTGTCTATACCTATCTCAGCTGCCCACCAGCTACCCCCAGACACAGCGCCAGCTCTGATGGCCACGCCCTGGGCATGTTCAGGAAGCACCCTGCCTCAATCTCCCCTGTACACTGGGGTGACGGTGGTGCCAGCATGTGAATGATGCCATATACTTAGCAGGGTCTCTGAGGCAGGGTGAAGGTTCACTAGTCTGGAACAGCAGGGATACTGACAGCTCCAGCCCTAGAGAGTTCCAGTGAGGCATCGGGGCCAGAGCCAGACTTGCCCCGAGTTCAAGTCCCAGCTCTGCAACTTTGTAGCTAGTGACTTGGGGCACATCACCTCATCTCCCTGAGCCTCAGTTTCTTCACCTAGGAAGGGGAAGGCCGACTGCCTTGGCCTCGCTGGGCTGTGGGGATTAGATGGGGAGGCACCAGGAGGAGTGGACACAGTTGGTGTCCACTGCCACTGCTAAGTTCTACAGTCTCATCCCCACCAACTCTGGGGATGAGGTGGGCCACAGAGTGCCAAGGATGATTCAGTTGGGAACCTGGCACAGTGCCAGCACAGGCACTACCTGGGGCAGAAGTGGCCAGTGCCCTTGGCTTCATGGGCACTGATGATTGCTACAGACTGGGAGGGGCCCAGAGGGTGGTGAGGACTTCCTGAGTCCTAAAAGACATGGACGGCTACGTCCCACAGGATATAGGGATGGTAGACCCAGAGTGTGTCGTTGAGCCAGTCCATGCCATTGTCCTGCTGCAGCAGCCGCTCATAGGTGACACACAGGAAGCGAATGTCCTCCTCATCAATGCCACCATTCCAGATGTCATATAAGATGGTCATCTCCTCAAACTCTGAGCGGGGCCGGAAGAGGGGCTGGGGTGGAGAGAGCTCAGGCGAGGCGGAGGGGGCCACCAGGTCCTCGTGGCGCTTCTTAGGTGGCCGGCGCCACGGCCCCCGTACTTTGGCCAGCTCCATGAACTCCTCAGTGACTTCATCTCGCCCACGAGGGCCTAGGGGGATGGCCTCACAGGGCCACTGGTTGTCTAGCTCCTTAAAGGGCAGCTTGGCAGGCTCAACAGGTGGTGGAGGTGGGGGTGGAGGAGGCTGGGGGGGAAGGGGCGGAGGGGGGGCTGGGATCCCTGCGTTCCGGAAGTCCAGAGTCACAGCCCGGGGATCATGGGTGCTGGGAAAGATGGGGGTCTGTGGCTGGCCTGGCAGGAGCAGAAGGTCCCTTCCAAGGGCAGCCCCCGCTGGTGGCCGCACCAAGGGCCCATCCAAGGACAGCATAGATGGTGGGGATCGCCGGGGCCGGCCCGGCTTCCTCTTGATGGGGGGTGGGCAGGGGGCCAGGGTGGCAGGCAGCAGAGGTGGCAGCTGGGCAGGGGCCCGAGCCTGGGCCCTCAGCACGGGGACAGGCAATGCCAGGGGCAGGGGCAGGGGCAGGGGCAGGGGGAGAGGGAGGCCCGTCTCCAAGAGCACCGGGGAGGCCAGAGGGCCAGAGCGCTCATCTCGCCGGCCAGCCGGGAGCGGGCAGACAGGTAGAAGCAGGGGCCCGCTGGGCTCTGGGAAGGTGGGTGTGAAGCTGAAGTCCCGGCCAGGTGTCCGTGGGAGGCCCCCGCTACTCAAGCTGGGGGACTGGGATGGGTAGGAGAAGGGACTGCCAGGCACCTGTGGGGAGCTCAGGGACAGGCCGCTGCTGCCCCCTGATAGCGGGGGCTCCCCACCTGGTGTGGCTGGCACTGTCTCTGTACTCTGAGACTTGCCCAGGCTGCCACAGAGGCCAGGAGTACGTGGGGGCTGGTCCTCAGGGGGAGGCTCCAGAGGGACAGTTGGGTGTAGGGGCTCTGGGGTCTCAGGCTCTGGGGGTGGGCTGGGTGGCCGGGGTGGCCGGGGTGGCGGCAATGGTGGCTGCAGAGGCAAGGAGAGCATTGGAGGGGGCTCGGGCTCCACTTCCAGATGATCTTCTGCAGAGGAGAGCAAAAGCCAGAGCATCATTATTTGATCCAGACAACTCCCAGGACATTGTTCCCGCACCCTACTACACACTGGATACTCAGTGCCCAGGGTTCCTGAGCAGTTAAACCAAACACCGCTTGGCCCCCAGCCAGGCACACAGTGGGTGCTTCATTTAAATGGTGGTGGGGTTTGTTGAAGACATAGGAGACATGGTTGCTGGCCTTTCAGTGTCTTCAGGACCATGAATCTGGGCTGGGCTGCAGCATTGGCCCAGCATGCATAGGCCCTGGGTGCCATCCCCAGCAACACAAAAAAACATAAACAAACAAAAAAAAACTGTTCCTGTGGCCAAAAAAACTTGCTCTGTGATGTAACAAAATCTAACAAGTCTCCTTGGCAAGACTTGTCAGAGCCTGCAAGGAACCCTGGTATGCCTCCCTATTGTCACAGAGCACACTGGTTAATGTATCTGTTGTCACCTCTTACCCTGCCCTAGAATATAAACTCCATGAGGACAGGTATTTTTGTCTGTCTGATTCACTCTTGTATTTTAGTGCTTAAAAGAGTACTGGGGACCACAGAACCTTAATGTTGAATCTCTATTCAAAGATCTGTGGTTTGTGGTCAAGTAAATAAAACAAAATACATTAAACTAAATACATCAGTTTTCTTTCCTGAAGACTGAGTAAAGGCAGGTATTAACTCGAGTGGCTATGTTGAAATTAAATAGCATCACACATCTGGTTCCACAGTGGCTCTGGCCACATTGCAGGAACTCAGTAAGCAACACTGCATCTGGTCAGCACAAAGACAGCATCTCCACCATTGCAGGAAGTTCTACAGATGGTGTGATCAGAGCTTTTCATGTGCTTTGTGCAGCTCCCTCAAGGGAGTGGAGGGTGCAGAGCTCATAGCCCCTTTCCTTGGACTCGTACCCCAAGGCCATCCCACTTGCCTAGAACTAAAATGACCTTACCTTTGGGAGCAACTCACAGGACCAATGGTCTAAGCACTAAACCACAGGGGAAATCCTGGTACTATGGAAGAGAACAGCCCTGGCCCCTGGTGGGCTCATCCCTCATGGTTCTGTGCCTGCTTCAAGCACCTCATCTCATTATGAGCCCATGCGACCCCATGAAGGAGATACATCTGCTGATGCCATTTCAGAGGAAACTGAGACTTGTGAAGGGAGCCTGGGGCTGATTCTGACAGCAAAGACATCTTGCCTCCTCCACTGCCCTCCCAGGAGGCTGCATGTGGTACCTGGAACATGTTCAGGGGACATTGGGGGCTGAGCTTCCATCTCCCTGGCAGGGGGCTCTGGAGACAGCAACATGGCCTCTTCCTGGTTCAGGCTAGCCTCTTCCAGGGGCTCCTTGCACCCGGCCAGCTCCTCAACACCCACAGGCAAGGGGGGCTCCTCCAGGAGAGGAGTCTGCTCCTCGGGGGCTTCATCCTCAGCTTCAATATCCACCTCTTCTTCTGTGCCCAGCGGCTCCACTGCAGATGCCCCTGGGGCCAGAGACACCTCCTCTTTGTCCTGCTCAAAGTCCTCAGCACCTGCAGGTGGCATGCTCTCATCTGGCACTGCCACTGCCTCCTCCTCCTCCTCCTCCACCTCTTCCTCCTCCTCTTCTTCCTCTGGCCCTGCCACCATCTCCTCTTCGTCCTCCGAGGACGAGGACGAGGACTCGGAGCTTGATTCAAACTCAGAAGACTCAGAACTCTCGCTGGATGACTCGGCCTCTGCCTTGGAGGTGGCAATGCTCACCGTCTCCTCTGGATGTGAGACAAAGGGAGAGTCTGGTGATCTGTGGGGCTCCTGCCCCGGGCCAGATGCCTCCCCAGAGGCCATGAACTGGGGGCACCTGGCTGAGCACTGCCTCAGGCAGGCATGTGTGAAGTAGGGTTGACAACTACACTTCATTTTTAAAAACAAAACACAAAACCAATTGTTCATTTTAAAGTGAATAATCCCACTGAGCACGGAGGTGCACGCCTATAATCCCAGCCACCTGGGAGGCTGAGGAAAGGCCTGCAAATTCAAGGCCAGCATGGGCAACTTGGCAAGACCCAGTCCCAGTATAAAAGTAAAAAGGCTGGGGCGGGGGTAGCTTGCTTGCCAAGGATATGTGAGCCTCTGCATTCCATCCCTGATACTAAAAAATAATAACTCAAGAGAGCAATCCCAGTTCCATGCCTCCTCTGTCTAGCTGTACAACACCCTCGCCACCTCCCTGGCCCACCCACCAGCACGCAGTCCTGGCCTTGGGCACCAGGCTCTCCCTGCAGCTCTGCGGCCTCAGCCTTCTGGCTATTGCAACGAGTGGAATCAGAAAACACTGTTGTGCACTCTGATGAGTACAGATTTCAAAAGCGTGCTTTCCTGCCCCAAAGCACTCTTTGGGGGGCTCCTTGCACCCTGCCAGCTCCTCAACACCTCTGCAAATAGGGCCCAGGGCTGGCCACGCAGCTCAGCCTGCTCACCGCCTTCTGAGTCTCCTTCGTCCTCACTTGCTCCTGACAGGGCTGCATCTTCACCCTCGTTCTCGGTGTCATCGCTGTCCTCATCGTCATCCTAGGGGACAGGGAAGGATAAGGACAGGTAAGCAGGTGGCCTGGGGCTACCTGACGGGCCTAGAGCCCCGAGGCAGGCCTCCCGAGGCAGACCTTCTCAGATGTGCTTGAGCTGGAGGAGCAGGACACCTGGCTCCGGGGGCCGCCCTCCTCCTCCTCCTCCTCCTCCTCCTCTTCCTCCTCCTCCTCGTCCGCTTCCTCCTCGGCTTCTTCCTCCTCGGCTTCCTCCTCAGTGCTTTCCCGCTCCTCCTCCTTGTCAGAGGCTGAGGACGAGGGTGAGGTGGTGGAGGACCCAGAGGATGAAGACCCAGACGAGGACGAGGACACTGACAAAGACTCCTTCTCATCCTCCTCCCCACCACTGTCCAGCTCCAGTGGCCGAGCTGGCCGCCGCCGCACGCCCACACCCTTGGGATCCCGCTTGGCCAGCTCGCAGGGGGCATCTGCCATGTCTCGGTCCCGCTCCCGCTCAGACTCTGTAGGAAGAGAGGGCAGCCTCAGCCAGGAAGGGGAAATGGGGGCAAAGGGAACCCCAGCCCCCAGTAAGAAGTTAGAGGTGACCAGGCACAAACCTTCGTCTTCTTCATCCACAGAGGTTGAGGGCCGAAGGCGCTTCTGGTCACCAGATGATGCTGTGTCTGGTGGCTCCTTCCTCTTGACCTTGAAGGAAGGCAGGCGAATGGCCCCTCGCAGCCCAATGCCCAGGCCCAGGCCCTCATAGCCCAGGCCTTCGCCTTTGCCCCACGACTCCAGCAGGCATGAGGCAATTCGGTCCTTGGGCTTTGGCCGGTCCTCGTCCTTGTGCTCGCCTGACTTCACAGGGGTCAGCGAAGCCTGGGATGGGAGAGAAGCAGGGAGTTGCCATGGTTGGAACATTGCTGCTGACCCCAGAGGCCCGCTCCCTGAGTGGCAGTGACAGCAGCCTCAGGTGACAGGGAGCCTCCTGTCTGCACTCCTGGCATGCAGTTCACCTTCCTCAGGAGGCACTAGAGCCCCACTCTGCCTCACTGACCTGCACGTCCTCACCTACAGGGTGGGCTACTCAGGACAGAGGCCTCCAAATTTAGAGACGAGACTCCAAAAGCAACACATCCTCACTGGAGGTGTGTAACCTACACCACGGGGACGCAAGTCTCATAAGTAAGATTTACACTGTCCTTATTTTTCTGTTCTTTTCCAATGCATTAAAAACAATACCCGCAGACTTTACTTGGCCCCTGCAGTTCCAAAACACTGTGCCTTTGAGGGACGTTTTAAAATGAGCCATATTAAAAGCTTCACATGGGGCAGGTCACCGAGGCATGGTGGCTCCTTTCATTCAAATTGTTCTTGGTAGCTATTAGAAGCTGTTACTATGACTCATCTGGTAGGGCCAATGTAATCAGGGTGAACCACAAAGCACCAGACATCAGAGATGTCAGGTGGCTCGTTCTCATTTTACTGTTCCATCTTACAGATGAGGAACGGGCTCTGACAGGTGGGCTTACCTGGACTGCAGAGAGCAGGCTCTTAGTCACAGCAGCATTTCCCAAAGCGTGCTTGGCGGGAGGGGGATAGCAAAAGTGATAACCCTGGTCACCTCTGGGGACGAGGGTAGAGGGGACTGGGCCTGAGGGTAGTGACTGAGAGGATTTTAAGATAGTGAGAGATGCAGGGCATGACAGCCCGCAGCTATGGCCCTAGCTTCTTGGGAGGCTGGGGTAGGGGCATCGCCTGAGCCCAGGAGTTTGGGGCCAGCCTGGGCAGCATAGCCAGACCCCATCTCTAAAAAGAGAGGGGGAAAAAGGAAAGCAAATGTTCTCTCGAGTGGAGCAGCAGCGGTTACTGCTCATCTATGAGATCACCAAGGACATCCACTGCGTAGAGAGGAAAAGCTCTCCCACCAAGACAGGTCTCTGCCAAAGGCCACCCAGGATAAGGCGGGAGCCAAGCCCAGTGCGCTTTGATGTGGCCCACCTGTGCTGCTGGGCACATGGTGCCTCTGTGCTGTCCCAGGAGGTGGCCATTGGGCACGTGAGAGTGCTGAGCACTTGAAGTCTGGTGAGGGGAACGAGGAACCCAATTCACACTTTCATTTCAACCAATCTAATCCAGCGAGTGGACTAGTGGGCACTGTTGACAGTAGTCAGTGGCCCTCTCCAAGTGCCAACCAGTCCATCGCCCCACACAGGGGTGCAGGTGGCAGTGTATCTGTCACACACCTTGCAGAAGGGGGCACCTGGCCAGGCTCCTGCCCCACCCCCACTGGCCACCTGGGGTACTCTGCACCCACCTACCCACCTTGGCCATCCGCTCTTTCTTGTCCCACCACTCGTCAAAGGCCCGGAAGGCCACCACCTCCACCATCTTGCGATTCAGGTCACGCTTCATGATGGCCTTCAGCTCCTTGAGCACCACCAGTAGGACGCCATCCACTGTGGCCTTGTGCGGGTCCTCCTGACGTGGCACGTAGCCTGGTGGCGGCACTGACGGGTCAAACTTGGGCAGGGGTGGCCAGGGCTGCCCACGGCCTGGGCCACTGCTGCTTAGGGAGAAGGGGCCCCGGTAGGGCGGCAGGTTGACAAACTGTAGCCCAGCTGAAGCGGCAGCGGCTGCAGCGGCCATGAAAGGTGGGTAGGGACAAGCGCCCTGGCCTGTCATCAGACGGCTCAGCATCTGCGTTTGCATCTGGAAGGACATGGGCATGCCACCCCACTGGCCGCCCAGCACGTGGCTCATATCCACCTGCATCACAGGAAACAGCCCTGGTGGAAAGGGCGGCAGGGGCGGCAGGATAGGTGGCGGGGGGACACCAGGCGGCGGCGCTGGCAGGGGTGGTGGGGGCACTGTCACTGCAGGATGGGCTGGTGGTGGTGGTGGCGGGGGTGGAGGCAGAGGTGGGGGCATGGGGAAGCCCGGCTGGGGCGGGGGTGGGGGTGGGGGCAGTGGTGGGAAGCCGGGTGGCGGGGGCAGCGGCAGGGTCGGGGCCAGCACATTGGGGCCTGCCACAGCTGCTCCCCCTGCGGTCACCACCATGGGCTTGGGGCAATCGGCACTGGTGATGGGGGCTGAGGGCATCTCGTCGTCCGAGATCTCCATGTCCTCGCCTGAGGACTGCTGGCCCTGCGGAGAGAGCAGAGAGGGCAGTGAGCAGCGGAGGGTGGCCAAGCAGCTCCAAAGGCCTCCTGAGTATCCGAAGGCAAGATGGATCAGCAACATGGGCTCTCAGCTGTGTGACCTCTCTCAAGTCACTCAGCCTCTCCAAGCCTAATTTCTCCAGGTGCATAAAGGACAAGAGAGCACCTGCCTCTTGGGGTTACCATGGGGATCTGAGCAGTCACTCATTTAACACATGCCCAGCACCTGCCTGCTAGGCACTGTTCTGCTATGCAGGGACACACACAAAGGTGACCACGCAACACATAAATCTTGCTCTTGTGGCACTGAATTTCTAGAATTCAGAAGACAACCAGAATGAAGGCAGGAAGTACATCAAGGGGAAAAGGAAAAGGGTTGGGTGGGGGCAGACAGAGGGAAATAGCTTCTGTTTCAATTTGAGGGATTGTTTCAATGTGTATTCAGAGAAGGTGATATTAAGAGTTAACACTTCTGTAGTGCTTCCTATGTGCCAGGCAACTTTACATATATTAACTCAGTTAATCCTTAGAACAAACCTGCAAAGTAGATGTTATCTCCATTTTTACTAATGAGGAAATTGGGGCACAGAGAGCTTAAGCAACTTGCCCAAGGCCTCACAGACAGTAAGAGACAAGCCAGGATTCAAACCAGGAAATGGCTCAGTCAGACTGCTGAGTCTGGCCAGGAGAGTCTGGAGCAGAAGGTGACATGTGAGCCAGGCTTGGGTGTGTGAGTGAGTGGGTTTAGCAGCGTTAAGGACTCGTAAATAGGAATCGTGCTCTGCACCCAGTTTTGTGGATGCACCCAGTGCAGAGTAGAGAGCACCTTCCACCCTTCCCCATCTATTCTTTTTTCTCCTGCAGTACTGGGGATTGAAACCCAGGGCCTCACTTGTGCTAGGCAAGTGCTCTACCACTGAGTTACAGCCCCGGCCCCCCACATCTCACTTCTTATATGAAGAAGAGCCCAAGAACCTTGTGACCTGGGGGCCACTCGGATCCCTCCAGACAAGTGAGGAAACAGACCCAGCAGGGGCATGGCCTGTCAGAAATAGGGCCAGGACCACCCTCCAGACACCCATCCCACAGGGACTGTGGCTGGAATGCAGAAATGGCTGGATTGAGGGAGGGGGCAAGGATGATCGATCGGGTCACAGATGACCAGGGAGGGCCCTTTACTATAGGATCCAGTGCACAGGCTTGATCCAGTGGGAGGCCCCAGACTGGGTTCCTCCTGGTGTAGGTGGAGTGAGAAGCTAGAGAAGGGGTGGAGATGAGAGGGAGGGGCCACCCCTGGCTCTTGTGTGGCTCAGGCCCTGGCCTGGATGAACAGGCTGAAAAGGAAACAGAACATGCTTTTTTTTTTTTTTTTTTTGGTTAGGCTGGGGATGGAACCCAGTGCCTTGCAGATCTAGTGACTGCTGAGCCACGTCCCCAGCCCCCAGCTTGGGCTTCTATAGGCTGAAAGAAGGCGTGCATCGGAAGGCTGAGGGGATGCGGTCTGTGTAGAACACAAAGCCAGAGGTCAGGCCTGTAGGTGAAACAGGCCTCCAAAGAAAACCTGAGGGAGGGAAATACCAAACCTATATAAGAAGCAGGAAGCCCTGGATTTTACTAGGCACCCTTCAAACGTGCGCGCGCGTGCGTGCACGCACACACACACACACACACACACACACACACACACACACTCCCCCTCTTCAAAGTAGCTTTGCATTTGAGGAAAGGATGGGCAGGTTGGGCTAGATATCTGGAGACGGCTTCCCAGGACATCAGTCCTGGGCAGCAGTGAGCAGGTGAGCCAGGCCAGAGCAGCACACAGAGGGTTAACCCAGGCCACTGCAGCCAGCCAATCACAGGAGCCCCAGCAGAGCTCCAGCCCTTGCCCAGCCCCTTGGCTGAGCTGAGCTGGGCTGGGGCGCTTCCTAGCAGCAGCGTTCTCTCAATCTGAGACGGAGGCAGGTGCTCTCACCAGCCCATTTGACAGATGATGAAACTGAGATGCAGAGAGGGAAAGTGTCTTTCCAAAGTCACATAACCCATAAGTGACAGAGCCGAGGTTTAAGAACTGAAGCCCATGCTTTTCAGCAGCCTCTGGGAAGCAGAAACACTCCCCTCCCACTGGCCCCTCTGGGTTGCTCCCTAGCCTCAACCCCAGCCTAGGCTGTGACTGAGCACAGCACTCCTAGCTCTCCTACACAGCACACCAGCCCCAGGATCCCCATCCTGCTCTACCCACTGCCAGCAGGGGGCTCCCGAGGGCCAGCCTGGAGCTCAACCGTGCTCTGGACTTCCGTCCCCAGGCGCCAGAGTCCCCTCAGACTCCAGGTCTCAGGTCCTCACTTTCTCCTTGCCTTGGGCAGCCCAGAGGAGGAGACCCTGTCCACTGGTGACTCTAGGCTTCTCAGCCCTGGACCGGCTCGTCAGCATGGCGAACGCCCCAGCTCCAGGCAGCCCAGAAGGAGGGGTTAGGGCCAGCAGCTCTCCACCTCTGCACACCTGTCAACTCCCCCTGCCTGGACCACTTACTGCCAGAAACCACTTCCCCAGAACTGCCTGGAGCCCCAGCCACCTGCAGCCCCTTCCCGGGGAGGCCAAGTTCCTCTCTGTTCCTCCCTGAGGCTGCCAAACCGGCCTCATCAAAGGGCCCAGGAAGGGGGGACTCTCCTCCCTGCTGCCCACAGGGGCAAGGAGCTCCGTCTGTGCCCCTGGCTGCTCATGCCTGCCTGGCCCACAAACTCCAAGACAGGTGTCTAGGAGGGCCAAGGCATGGGCCTCCACCAGGAGAGGAGGGGGTGGAGCCAAGTCCAGAAGGGTGACCAAACCCTCTCCTAACCTGGCAGCACCCTCACCCCAACCCCTGGGTGGAAGTTTCTGGGACTGGAGGTTTGGGCAAATGAGACCAAGGTGAAGTGAGGGGACTGCGGGGACAGTCAACTATGCCCACTTCTAGCTACTGTCCCCTAAACCAGTCTTTAACTCCTTCCCCTGAAGAGGCCAGGAGACAGGGAAACTCACCTGCCTCGCAGGCTTCCCCATCTCTTAAGAGGGCACAGGCTGTAAAAGACAGTACTCCAGAGCTTCCACTGGCCTGGCTCAGCACAGTACCCTGGCTCATCCCTCTCCTCGCTGCCTGAGTATCAGGACCAGCCCTGAGCATTCCTAAGCCGCAAAACAAAGAGGGGGGCCTAGGGACTGGGGATATAGCTCAGTTGGTAGAGCGCTTGCCTCACATGCACAAGGCCCTGGATTCAATTCCATCATCACAGCCATCAGCACAACCATCATCACAGCCCACACTCTCTAGAGGTCTCTGCAAACTCCATCAAAGCAGCTCAGGTCAGCAGGGCACAGTGGCACACGCCTATAGGATTGAGAGTTCAAAGCCAGCCTCAGCAACTTATAAGGCCCTCTCTCAAAAAATAAAAAGGTCTGGGTATGTAACTCAGTGGTAAAGTGCCCCTGGGTTTAATTCCCAGTATGGGGGAGAGGGGGCGGGAGGCAGCTCGGGGAAAAATTTATCCCATGGAAAACTCTTAACTCCCCTTATAAAGAGAGCAACAGAACTCAACCATGTTCTCCTTTTCTCCCTGGCTGCTAGGGAGCTCAGAGCCAAACCAGCTGCTTGATCACAGTCTATGGAGCTTTTCCCATCCTCTTTTTATTTTCTAAATTCGATCTGTTATATTGGCTTCTCTATTGGGGAAGGCATTGGCCTCCTAACCCTTTTGCTTCCAGGTTTTAGCTAGTTATCCTAAATGTTTTAAGGGGAGAAAAAGTGGGACAGAGATAGACAAATCAATCCCAGATAGATGGACAGACATGGTGGTACCTCATCCATCTTCTCTGAGGTCGGGGTCCCGTCTCCAGCCAGGTCCAAGGCCACCTCAGCTGACTGGCCCAGAAAACCAGTAGGGTCTGGGGGGCCTGGTTCAGGTGGGGGTCGAGGCCCCAGGCCCACGTCCAGCTCATCATCCTCATCGGAGTCAGGCAGAGGCGTGGGGCTGATGTCCTCTAGGCCCGTGCTGGAGGGGCGTGAGGACGGGGGTGAGGGGCCACGGAAGCCCGGCTGGGAGTTGGTGCTGAAGGGGGCCAGTGGGGAGAGCTGGGAGGAGGAGGAGGAGATGGGGCTGCCCTCCATCTGCAGCTCGGCGTCCGAGTCCTGCTCCCGTAGGAAGGGCAGCTTAGTGCGCTGCTCCTTCAGCAGCATCTCGATGCGTGAGTCCAGGCTGTCATGGGGCTTCTCAGGCCCCGCAGGGGATGACTCCAGCGTGGGTGTGCCAGGGCTGTCACAGGGCTCAGGACTCCAACCAAAGGTTGGCCGGCCGCCTAGCTCCATGCTGTTGGTGTCGGGGGGAGGCGGGCCAGGCGGTGTGCCTGGCTTCTCCTTGGCCAGAGGCTCAGCAGGTGGCAGGGGTGGAGGTGCAGGTGCTCTCCGGAACTCCCCACTGTCACGGGCCCCAAAGGTGGCTGTGGTGGTGGGCTCCTCGGGAGGCGGGGGGAAAGGGGGTGCTGGGGTCTGGTATGGAGAGAAGGCCGACTTGAATCCAGGAGTGGGGGCTGCTTGGGCAGTCGGTGGAGTGTGGGCAAATGTGGCTGAATCCTGTGGTTGGGCCTTGAAGGGAGGGCCACTGCTGCCCCCACTGCTGCCAACTGCCCCAAATGGGAGGTCCGAGGAGCCCCGAAAGGGAGCTGCGGCCCCGGCCACTGCAGCCACTGCAGCCACTGCAGCCGAGTTGTGAACATAATGATGCTCGTGGCGGCGATTGTAAGCATCGGTGAACTTGCTCTCGTGGCGCCGAGCCTTGAAGGTTGCTGTGGGGTCTGGGCCGAAGAGGTAGGAGGGTGTGGGCTGGCGGCTGGAGTAGCTGGAGTCCTGTGAGAAGGGGGTGCCCAGGCGCGGTGTGAGTGGGGTGCCCTGCCCATAGGAGTTGGGCGTGTCCAGGCGGCAGCTGGAGTAAGCTGTGTCCTGGGAGAAAGGGGTCCCGCCACTATTGGGGGTGACGGAGGAGGAGCCAGAGCCACAGCCCGCAGACAGGCTGCCATCCTTGAGGCGCTTCAGGGCATCTGACAGCTGGGAAGAGAGAGGGAGAGAGGTGAGATCTGGCGCGGGCTCGGGTGGGCAGGCTTCCCTTCTTATTCCGACTGCTGGGACCCACAGCCAAGTTGCTCTGTGGCACAAGGAAAGAGGGTCTTAATGTTACTCTGTTCATTCTTAGCGAATCTTGGGGACTGTTCCTACTCCCAAAGTCAGAGTAAAGGAAGACTCTGCCATCTTGGTATAGGCTGGGTGTTCTTCCGGTTGGCGGCTGTCAGGCACTGAGGACCTTCTAGGCAGAAGTATGACTGAAAACTAGGGTTTGGGGATTGAGTGGCTATGGGCTTGGTTCTGTCCCACACTGTGGGTTGAAACAGTGTGACATGGGGAAAGCACCTGAAGGACACTCTGGCTGACTGAGCTCTGCCCTCCTGACCGCACTGGCTGATCCAGGGGAGGAGCTGGGATGGCCCAGTGAGTGTCCTAGGAGGTGGGGGTCAGGGAAACAGGGCCTGAACTCTGCTTTCTGGGGACAAAGATAGAGGGGGATGCAGGCAGCACCCACCAGGGCCTTGGGCACAGCAGTGTTTGAGCATTGGTATGGAAAAGCATCCCCAAGCCTGTGGACCTCACCTGTGCTGGGGGAGGGCTGGAGGGAGGGGCCTAGTGGGCTCAAAGCCACAGGAACAAGGCCGAACCCAGGGGAGCTGCACTGAATGAGCTTGGAAAAACGGGGCTTGTAGACCCCACTCTGAACCTGTGGTGGGTGTGGCAGGCTCATTTACCTCCTAGGCCTTGGTCTCCAAGACTGATGATAGTGAGCTGGGGGCTGAGGCGGGGGTCTGATCAGGAAGTTGAAAGCTTCCAGAGGTGGGGGGACATGACGGAGCTGGTGATGGGAGAAGTGGTTGTGATAAACCCACCTGTAGGGTCTCATTCACAATTGGAGAGACAGCATCCAGCTCACCCACTGGGAGGGTCTGGGGGGTGTATCGGCCGGTAACCAGCAGTTCGTAGAAGCGCATGCGGGTTTCTCCTGTGATGAAAAGGGCAGGGGCATTCAGCCAGGCTCTAGGATGGGTCAGTCCCCACAGGTCTCTAAACTATTTGGGATCCTTATGGGTCCTGTATATCTGGGATCCCAGGCCTGGGGAAGCTGCATGACCCCTGACCAAGTTCCCATCCTCCCTCCCCTTGCACCTCACTCAAGATCCTCATCTGTTCAATGAAGCTTCAAAACTGATATTTCTTATCTTGAGTCTCAGAATTTAATGCCCTGGCTAGGACTCCCCCAAATTCAGAGTTGTCAAGCCCAGCACAAAGTCCCTTCCCATTACCTGGGCCATGGTGCCAAAGAAAGAGCACCCTCCTCCCCCACCCCTGCTTTTTTCACCTTCCCACTTAACAGCCAGAGCTTATAGCAAGGATGGGGGAAGTCCGGTGACATAGAGGTGATACTTTGTTAACTATCTGGGGCCAGGTGACAAGCAAGTTTGCAGAACACATTCTAGTAGCATATTACTGTGAACTTTGCACTGACTTCCACTAGCTGAGGACCCAGGACCAGAGTTTGCTTGGGGACTCTGCAGGGTACTGTCCAACAGAGCCCCACTGGACCCCATGAGGAACTTTCCACCCCTCAGCAAAGAGGTCTTCACAGACCAGGGCCCCAGATTACTGATATTTATAGAACCTCAGAGGCAGCTGGCTGCATATGCAAAGGAGACACATTCCTTGAGCTACACTTTACACTTTGCTGGTCTCTCTTGAAATACAAACTTGGGTGGCAGTCTCTGCAGGCCGTTTCTTTCCCCCTCTTTATTTTTATTTTTTTCAGAAATAGAATTATGGTGAGACCTGACTCCTTAAGTGATGGGAACAGACTGCTGACTTGATTCTCAAGGGAAAATCAGACTGCAACCATCCAAGGGGGTAAAGTCCATAGGCCCCTGCCCACCCAGAGACTGAGGAGCTAGGGAAACGAGGGGAGGGGCTGTGGATTGGATGAAAACCTCAGGCTTGTGCCCTAAGGACAGGTACATCTAGAAATAGGGTCAGCAATTGTGGATGGGGTAGTCAAAATACCCAGCATGATCTTAGACTCAATTAATATGTATTAATTATTAAAATCAAAACAACAACAACAAAAAGGTTTAGATTTCCCTATTTTGGTTTGGTGTATTCAGATGCCTGCCAAACCTTGTGCTCACAAAACCCCCCGAGCTGTTGCACCTAAGTCCTCCCAGGCAGGGTTCCCAGGTGGCCCCAGAGAGCTGGGGATCTAACAGGGCTATCTGGTCCCAGAGCAGCTGGCACCTCCTTTCATATAGGTGGGAACTTCTTAGAGAGGTCACAGGCAAACTTTGGGAGAAACCCTCTGAGCTGTGAAAGACCCTCCAGCCAGCATCCAGGGGAGTCTAGGCAACCCAGGGATGGGAGGTGTGGCTCCCCAGCCTGGCTGTGAATCAAGCGGGACTCTGCTCCGAAGGTGCTGCGGTCTCTTTAAGAGAGAGGAGGGAAGACAAAGTGTCAACCCTGGAGCACCCAGAGCAGCCCGCCCCCTTCGCCCTATCGGGAACATTATCAATGAAACAACACTCCTAGCTCAGATTGGTTCAGGGGGAAGGGGTAAAGGGGGAGGGGGTATCTATCCTTAAAGGATTCACTTTTCAGTTGAGGGACCTTCTCTTTTCTGTATTTAAAGGCACCTTAGCAGCTCTTCCTCAGTTCTCCCCCCCACACACACACCAAATAAACAAATGTCTCCTCCTAACACAGGCAGCAACACTGGGGACTGCTAAACCCAGGCTACCGGGACTCTGAAAGGGGCCCACAAGGGGGGTGTCAGCAGTGGGGAAGCCTCTTGGTAGTCTCTAGGGGTGCAGTGGCCAAGAACCAGCACATTTGGTAAATTATAGCCTGTCTCTTAGCAACAGACAACACATTTAGCTCCATGTGACTCTACTCTCAGGAGGGGTCAAATATATATATATACATACATATATAAAGTTGTGGGAAGGGATCCCAAGGAAGAATGAGAGGCTTCCCAACAGTGCAGAGGAAGCTGATGAAAGGGGTCAAGCCTACAGGAAGCCTTCATCTCAGCCCCCTTCATCTCTGCCCCCAGGCACCCAGCTGGCCCCCACTAACCTTTGGTGTCCAGCTCCACGTGGATGATGTTGCCCATGACCGAGGTGCTGTGCAAATGCTGAACAGCCTCCTTGGCTCCCCTGACTGTGGCAAAGACCACCTTGGCAATGCCCAAGTGCTTCTTGGTCTTGGGGTTGTACAAAATCTCCACCTCCTCCACCTCCCCATACTTCTTGCACATGTCCCTCAGGAAGTTTTCTCGGATGTTATCATTCAGCTTGGCAAATGTCACCTGCTTAGGAGGCACCGGGCCCACGTAGAACTCATCGATCTGGCAGGGGCCGAGGGGGAAGGGAGTTTGGAAAACATTGAAACCGAAGGAAAAACACAATATTTCCCACTCCCCCAGTGCTTAAAAACAACGAAGGGTTAAAAATTTTTTTTAATTTTTTTTTTGAAAAAAAAAAAAAATGCACACGGGCGGGCCCGGGAAGCAGAGGATTAAATCGTTTGGAACGTGGAAGTCCTCTGGGTTCGGAAGGAAAGGGGAAAAAGAAACAGTTTCTCTTTCCCCACCCCCCATTCTGGTCTCCCCTCCTTGCTCACCTGTCAGGGGCGACCCCTTGGACTAGGAAGTTGTCCCCCCAAAGTCGTTGGGTTGGGAAGGGGGGCGGGTCCCGGGGCCAGGCCTCTGGGTAGGCAGGAGCCAGGTGGGGACCCAGAGCCCCCAGCTGGGCGTGCAGGACACTGTATCAGCGCCGTGATTACAGTTTCACCGAGTGTTATTTTGTTTACAGTGGCCGGGAGGGGGACACCCCACTCCCCCTCCCCGCCAAAACTTCCCGGCCCTGGACGGCGGGAACTCAGAATCCGGCTGGGCTCGGTCAGGGCTGGCGTTATTTTCGAACTCGAGGAGGGAGGGGGAGGGGTCCTACCTTGAATTTGGGCACCGACAGCTCCAGCTCCTTGTTTTTGGTCCAGATCCCGACGACCCGGGGATCTTCGACAATTTCCACCGGGCGGTTGCTGGACATCTGCGGAGGGGATGGGGGGAGGAATGGGTGGGCTGGTCCCCTCCCCAGGGGCAGGGGCAGACCCCCTTCCCCAGACCATGGTCCAACTCCAGGAGTAGGGCCCCGGGGCTGACAGTTGGCCGGGTGGTGGGCAGCGGGGTGCCGGCCGCTCGGCCCCGGGGGGCGGTGGGGGCGGCGGGAGGCGCGCCGGCTACTCACCGCCAGGCTGAAATGCTGCCCATCGTAGCGGTACAGTTTATGATGCCCCTTTTTCAGAGCCGGGTCAATCATCAACTTGTAACTTCTCCAATGGTGGTTCCTCCTCTCGCCCGAAGGGCCGGGCTGCGGCGGGGGCTGCTGGTGGTGGTGGTGGGGGGGGTGACTGTTCTCCATGCCGTTAACCCAACCTGAAAACCAGCAAGTTGTTGTCGTCTCCGCCGCGGCGGCGGCCGCTTCTACACACACGCGAAAGAATCAGATCGGCCGGCCCCCACCCCCTCCCACCTTACCAGAGCGCCCCGAAAGGAGCTGTCTCGCTGGCTCCCCCCAAAACGAGAATGGAGCGAGAGAATAACCCTTCCGGGAGAATTACGCGCCCGCCCGCTCGGCCACCGTCTCCGGGAGGCAGCGAGGGGCTCCCGGGGGCCCCCGGTGCGGGCTGGCGGGGCCCGGGGCGCCCGGAGGACGCGGACTCCGGCCCATGGTGCCCGCCCGGCCGCCCGGCGTGGCGCTCGCTCGCCCGCTCGGCCCGGCTCGGGCGCGGGGCTCGCGGCAGGCCTGGCGCCGCCCGCCCGCTCGGGCCGGGGGCTCGCGCCGCCCGGCTGCTGCCCGCGGCCTCTCCCTCCCCAGCCGCGCTTACATCCCCGCCGGGCGCCGGCCTCCCTGCGCCGCCAGCCAGTACATGGTGTCCCCCGCGGGAGCCGAGGCCGGGGCGGCCGGACCGGAGGCCGGGAGGGGGGGTCGCCGCCGCCGCGGCTGCCGGGCCCGGAGCTGCCGCCGCCGCTGCTGCTGCTGCTGCTGCTGCCCGGGAGGCGGCTGGCGGCGGAGGCTCGGCTCCCAGTAGCCGCACATCCCACAATACACCGCTAAGGAGCCCGACCCGAGCGCTCACCCTCCTCCTCTTCCTCCTCCTCCTCTTCCTCCTCCCCTCTCCTTCCTCGCCGCTTCCCCAGGCACTCTCCCGGTGGCGGCAGCTGCGCCGCCAAAGCCCCGGGCCCCAGCGGCCCCCCACCCCTCACTCGCGCGCTCCCACACTGCCTCCCCCCTCCCGGGGGGGAAGGCCTTTTAATTTATTTATTCTGCTGGGACTGAGGTGGGGGGCTTGGCTGGCGGGGGAGGGGGGTCTCCCTTGGCTCTACCTCCCGCGGCTGGGGCTACTCTCCGAGCCGCGGCCGCCACGGCGTGCGCCTCGGGCCTCCCAAACTGTTTCCAAACTGCCAAGACTGGAGGTGGGCGCGTGGGGACTCGGGGAGAAAGGATGAGTTTTGGGGGAGGCGATTGTGTGTTTAGACGCTGGGAGCCGTGGGGGGAGGCAGACGTCGACCTAAGACGAGTTGCAATCGAGGTATCTCGGCTCCGGCTTCCTCTTCTGCCCGGCGACCCCCTCCCCCCGGAGCTGAGCTGGGGAAGGGAAACCAGGATTTTAACCACATTAGCATTCACATTCCTGGGAGGATGCAGCCCTCGTCTGGACCTGAGTGATAGAAGCTATTTTCTCTGTTTTTATTTTTGGAGGGGAGCGCCCTGTAATTGTCCTGAACACATGCTTCTCCCCCGACACCCCCGGCTCCAGCCACCAACGAAAGAGAGTCCCCCTTTTTTGCATTTATCTTTTCCTTCCCCTTTCTTTATTAAAGGTCCGGGAGTGGTGGTGACCAATCAGAGCGCGGCTTCCATTTTGTGAGTTCAACTCGGAGGCTCCCGGGCTTCGCGAGGACGCGTTTGCAGCCCCCTCTGCCTCTCCTCTCGGGCGGCTCAGGCGAACGAACCGTCTCGTTGGGGCTTCGTGGTCGTGTATTTCATATTGGGGCTCTTTTCGGGGTTTGTAATTTGGCCGTGGGTAGGTAATTGGCTGGAGCAGGGCGGCAGGGCGCGGCAGCCAATCAGCGCGTGGCTTCTATAGGGCTTGAGTTATTAGACGCTGATCTCAAAACATCCTTCATCAGACACCAAGGAGAGGCCAACAGATGAGGGGAGCCATTTTTCTGCAATGGAATTAAATGGCCAAGTGGGTTTTTCCTTTGTTGCAAGTGGGGAATGTTTTTCCTTTGACTCCACCATCCAGTTCAGGACGCCTGAATGTGTTGTTTAACATTTGTCAACAGGCTAAAGGACTCACTATTGGAAGAATGAAGAAGACCTTTTAAAAAGATCTGGATTTTTCCTTATGACTTGGAATCCATCTTTGTCTTGTATAACTAGGTCATAGCACACCATTAATGTCAGCAGTTAACAGTTTTGAATTCCAAAAAACCTAAGTAAATGACATATTTAATTTTTTTCCTCTTTTTTTTTCTTGGGTGGGTGGGGGGAGCTTGGAGCTGTCTTAATCTGTATTCTCTTTGAACAATAAATTTTTAAATATAGTTTCCTCTATTAAACACTTATACCTGGCCATCTTATTAACTCCTTCTCTCTTTAACAAGGTAATGTTTTAAATGTATAGTTTTAGGATTAGCGAAATGGCAGCAACAACAAAAAATTGTGAGCAGTTGTTACTCTTTTAAGTTTTTAAAAACCTTTTACATTGTAAGTACCCAATCCATTCTGTCCTTACGCAGTGCAGTTTTCATGTAAATGTTGGCTGAGATGTCCTTTAATTTTGCGAACCTTCATCTGCATGTATGTCTTTGTCTCTCTTGTCTAATATAAGCCAGTTAAAATGCTTTTAGACGATTTTGCTTTTATAAAGCTAAGGTTTTTAGCTTCAAGCTTTTGAAAATGTTTACAGCAATAAATGCTAGTCAGCTTTCTTCCCAGTAACGTGTACACTTTCTTTGAAAATCGATCTATTTGAAGAAAAACAGCTCTTGTTTTTCTCTTCTTGGGGTGGGAGAATAGGGAGAGAAAGGAAGACCTTCTCTTTGTGTGGAAAGACTAAAGCGGTCACAGGAAACTAGATTAAAACTGGAAAACAAGTCCTAGCTGGTTCGAGCCAAACACCAACGTTAACTCGGTGGTATTTTCTATGGTGGTTGGGATGGCTGTTGCGCTTTTGCCTTTTGTTTGACTGTGTGTTTTCGCCTTTTGTCTCTTAATGACGATCACACCATTGCTATATCCAGAGCAGTAAACAGTCCTCTGCGAAGCCGACTTTTTGCCAACCCAACTCTGGAAAATGCAGACGTGGAAGGAAGCAGAAAATGCCATGAGAGTATAACTTACAAAAAGGTAACAACAACAAAAAAGACAATACCATAAACCCAAATTTTCCCAACTAATCAATCAAAAAAGTGTTTTTTATAATAATGTCTCCAAAACCACCGCCCAGCTGCTTCTTCTAGACTCCATGGCATCTGGCTGAGCGGTAAGTAAAAAAAAAAAAAAAAAAAAAAAGTGCCTTTTGCCCCTTCGAGGAAATCCTTTATTGAGCAGGCCAAGGGCTGCAAGTGTTTGGGAGCTGAGGGGAGAAGGAGGTTTCTGGAGCTTTGTGTTTGGCAGCCAGAGCGGAGTGCGGGGACAAGGGGGGTTCTTAAGACCCCTTTGCCTCTTGGGCCCCAGAGGCCAGAAGAGGGTCTCCCCAGCGACGCTCGGGCATCCGTAGAGCCGCCTGTGCTCGTCCCCCGGGCTCTCCCAGGGTCGAGCCTTGGTGGGGAGAAGACATCGAAGTGCTTTGGAGACAGGGTCTCAAAAAACGAGGAAACCTCCCCGCCCGGTCGAGGGGCTCCTTCCCTCTTGATCGTGGGGGTTTTGCACCCCGAAGCCGGCTTTCCGGGGCTCCGGGGCGCGCCTGTGCTTCCCAGGCGAGCAAGGACAAAAGGCCGGCGTCCATGTTGGCACCATGACGCAGCATCTCTCCCGCCTGCAGCCCCGCGCTGCCTGTCCTCCCGGCCGCGCTCGCTCCTCCCTCCCAAACACGAGTTTTATTTTCAGGTTTCGAGCAGCAGAGCCGCGGGCTGGGCCGGGCTGCGGCTGGGGCTGCGGGAGGGCGGGCGGGCCCGACCCGGCAGGGCTGCGCTGGCTAATGGCGGCTGCTCTTCTCTTCCTTCCTCCCCCTGCTTCCTAGCTTTTTGGGCGCCTGGAGCGGGTGGCGGGCCCGAGGCCCGCTCGGACCCGAGATCCCGCAGGGCATGGCGCCGGGGACGCGGGCCCGGCACGTCGGGCCCGTTTCGGGGGCCGCGGGCCTCGGGGGCGTCGCGCGCGGCGGCTCCCGCGCTCGACTCCTCAGGGCGCGGCGGCCAGGCGGGCGCCATTTCGTGCGCCGCCTGCGGCTCGGGCGGTGGCGGCCTCCGAGCGCCAGGCTGGAGGAGGGGAGGGAAGGTCTGGCGAGCCGCCGCCCGCGTTCCAGGCCGCCGGGGGCGGGGACCCGGCTCTCCGCAGCGGCCCGGGACTTGGAGGCCCACGCGGGCACGAGGCGGCCTAGCTACCTGGCCGGCTGCCGCGGCCCTTCCTCCCTCGCGCGCGGGAGCCAGTAGCAAAGGGCCACGGAGCCGGCGCGGAGGCCTCCCCGTGGCCCAGCCCTGACCCCTGGCCACCCCCCCGCCGCCCACCCGGGCCTTGGCGTCTGGGCCCTGCCTCGCAGTCGCCCTTTGATAGCCGAACCAGAGGGGCGGGTCTCCCCCTTTTGTCCCACAAGGGACATCAAGGCCTTCGCAGTGGCCGCGGACTCCCCATTTGGCCGCCCTGGGCACACCCCTCCGACCCAGCTCTCCTGCCAGGAGGTGGGGGTTGGGGCCTGGGAAAGCCGAGTGGGCCTCCCCGGGATCCCCCCAGCGTCTGGGGGGTAAAGCCTCAGATCTTGGCCTTCCTGGGGGAGGGGATGCCGACTGGGCGGGCCTTTGGAAATGCAGATGAGTTGCCTCCAGCAGCTCGGCGCCGGGGCTGAACCTAGGTGACTCAGCCACCCCCACCCCCCATCTAGTCCTGGGTGAGGGCCGCCTTGGCAGCTGGGAAGGGGGGGGTAGCATTTGTGAGGTTCCCTTTCCGCCTTGAAGACCCTGTCGGTTTGCATTTGGCCAGTCAGTTAATTCTCTGACACGCGTTGGGGATTGCCATAACAGGCYCTCGAAATTCTTCTCCCCAGGTTCTTGACCGGAGAAGGGGCCATGTCTTGGTACCCCCGCAGAGTGGACAATCCTTTCTTCTGGATAACAGGAGCAGGCCTAGTGTGACTGACAGTCCTCCCACTGAGGTAGGTGAGAACCCTTTCCCAGGCTGTGAGGGCGATTTAGGGGCTTTGGCCTGACGCCCGGGGAGGGCGGGTTGGGATCCCCAAACCCGCTGGGCTGGTTCTGCCGCCCCTCCCCCACACAGATGCGGCGACTGTGTGTGAAATGGGCGGCCTGCTGGGTCTATCCAGCCCCGCCTGTCAGCTTCTGTTGTCAGGCATTTGGGGCGTGCAACTCTGCTGAATTTAGCAGCTAACTAGAGGCTGCACTTGCAAGTATTCCCCAGTTGTGTGTTTGTGGTGGGGGGAGGGCCTTGGATGCCTCTTGCTTCTGAGACGTCCCAGCCGCAGCCCCCTCTTCCGGCCTTCAATATGAGCCACCTCTGATGTCTGGTTGCTAGTGAGATGAAGAAGAGACAGGCATGAGATCTGGGCCAGCTTTCCTGGAGGTTTCCGTGACTCTTCCTGCCCTTTCCAGGGTATCCTCCTTGCTCCCCAATGGGCAGGCATGTATAACCTGATTTCTAGTGTGAAACCTGAATGGCTGTTTACCAGCTGTGACCTTGCATGAGTTACAGGGTCTCTGAGTACCTTTTTCTCCTCCACAAAAGTGGGGCTAGATCTCGGCTTCCCAAACTTTCAAAGGTGCCGGAATCCCGCAGGAGACTCATTAAAACGAACTGTCCCCGTCCTTTGGATTTCTGGTTCAGGTGGAGTGTGAGAACTTGCACTTCTAACAAGTTCTCAGCCAACATGTTTTGAGACCCTCTGTGCTAGGCAGCACCTGGGGTGTTGAGGTGCCTGGCAGGTAGCAGTTGTTCAGTGGGTGCAGCTGTATTCTAATACCAGCTGACCTTGGTTGTCAGCCCTCCTAACCGTCCTGGAAGCTCCATGGCTGGAGATGGTGTGCTCCCTGATCTCTGATCCCTGCTTTAGACTGATGATCTAACCGATTGGGTCCAGGTGCCTCTGCTCTTGGCTCCTGGCTTCCAAATTGAAGCAGCCCTGCTCTTCCCCCACCCCTGTGTGACGTCTAAACTGACTTGGGGGATCCTATGAACTTAGTTGTAGGCATTTTGGTACTTAATCAAGGGAGGCTCTAAGACAGCCTTAGGTTGGAATCTGCATGGTGCGGGTGACCTTGGGCAAGCATCTCCCGTGTGAAATGATGGTAATGATGCATGCTGGAAAGGCCAGTGGGAGGATTAAGTGCGATTAAGGGGGCCGTCCTCCCCAGCCAGCTTCACTATATTCAGCCTCCATTGTGATCTGGGTTGTTGCTGGGAGTGGCTGCCGCGTGGGGGTTGGGCTGCCTCCAGAGCTCCTCCCCTGCCAGCCCACCTTTTAAAGCACGCAGGGACGCCTCCAGGCAGAGTGAAAAATGTTTTCCTTAGGAAGGCTGCCTGCTAGTCTCTATGGTAGAGTCGGGCTGCTGGTAGAAACCTCTGATAGGATCATGATTTGGAGTCACCCACCAATGGCCCAAAGAAAAGTGACTGACTTGCCTAGGGTCAGGAGGCCACTACTGGCTCAGCCAGGATGGGGTTCCAGTGTCTTGACTCTCAGCCCAGTGCTTGAGCTCATGGCACCCTGTCGCCCCAGCTGTCTGGGTTATTTTGGGCTCCCTCTGGTGCCAGCTGTCTGCTTGGCATCACTGCACAAGAGCTGTCTGGTTGGAAGTAGCCAGCACGGTGCTGTTGGCTTCTCCTGGTGAGGGTCTCCAGTCCCAGATGAGCTGCCCTGGATCCCTCTCCTTTGCTGGAAGTGGGGCTGTACCCAACTGATCCCATTCTAAATTTTTGTTAAAGAGACCAGTGCAGGGACCAGGCTGTACCCCACTGGTCCTACCCCCCAGCCCTAGTGAAGGAAGAGACTGAAAGTGCTTTTACGAAGTTGCTGTAGTTCCCATTGATGCCCATACCTTAGTCACTTAAATGATAACCTCACTGAATTCCCTTGACTCACTGGGGTCTTTACCTCCCCCTGATTCAGATGCCTAAATGATTGATTTATGTCTTCCCCTCCCAGCTGGCCTAACAGCCAGTCCTTCCACTCCTGCCCTTGGACCCTCACGAAGCAAGAAGGTGCTAAACTATAGTCTGGATGTGATTCTTGGAAGGTAAAGATGGCTCAGAGCAACGTGGAAGGATTGTGCCTCTCCCTGCTTCTGACTTTCCAGTACCTCCCTCTTCTTTCTTTGTCCCCACCTCCCTTCTCCTGGGACATGGAGGGGCGGGGCAGCCTGTCCTCCTGTCATTCTCCTGGTTCTAAGAGAGGTGCTCCACCCACAGTCACCCAGTGAGCTAGGGGCGGGCCTGCTCCAAGCAAGCAGAGAGAAAGCCACGCCAGCAGAAGGGTTTTCCGGGACTGGGAGGAGGCTGGACTAACCTTACTACTGAGAGGCTAGTGTCCCACCTCTTCCGGTGCTGAATATGACCTTTTAGACCCTCACCGTAGAGACCGATGACATGTAGCTGCCTGGACTGGGGAGAGTGACATCCCACCATATAGGATCTCTTGACCCCAATGCTTTCTCCAGCCAACTTGTGACTACCTTTCAGTTCCTGCCTATGTGAACTGGAAGGAGGAAGTTAGAAGGTAACCTTCTGAGTTCTTTCTAAATTTTTGTTAAAGAGAGGGAATCTCACTTCATTTCCCAGGCTGGCCTCAAACTCCTGGGCTTAAGTGAGCCTCTGCCTCAGCCTCCCAAGTAGCTGGGACCATAGGCACATGCCACCTTGGCTTATGAGGGGAGCATTTTGTACTCCAGAGGTGACCTACCCATCCTCCACCTGCCCTCTAATGCTTATAGGCTGCTGAGGCCTAGAGGGAGTCCTTTAGCCAGGTGGATAGACAGCCTGCTTCTCCCAGGTATCCTGGCTTAGCCACCTGGCTTCTCTGGGCCCTCCGGAAGTAGCTTAAAGCTCCTGTCTTTGGGCTGGGGGTGCTGGGATCTTTATCTTCCATTGTTATTTAATCATTGGGTGGTTAAATAATTTATGGTGCCTCAACACCCAGGGAAGTGGGTGCCCCATCCTAACTTGGACTGGCTGGACTTTGCCCTGAAAGATCAAAGTGGTTCAGCACCCTCCACACCCCTGCTCTGTTTCCCTGTTGGCTTCTCTATGGCAGAGGCCTCCTTGTGGCTACAAAGGCCACCTGGTATCTCCTTGGGGCTTCTGTGTCCCCCAGCTCTTGCAGCAAGAATCAGCCTAAAGATTTTTTCTTTCCCTCCTAAAACTCTCCAGGAATTCCTAGTGAGCGGGAGATTGACTTGGGTCTGGGTCCTCAGAACATCTTGCAGGTGAGGGAGCAGGCCTCTTGGGTGGGTGTGCCCAGCTCTGCAGCTGGCTTAGCCTGGCAGGCCTCCTCTTAGGAAGTTCTGAGCAGCTGGCTAGGCTCCTGGCTATTTTTAGCTACATATCCAGCCCCACCATTACCATGAGTCCTGGGTCCAAATCAAACACGCTCCAGGCTGGATGGGGCTGGGGCTCTGCCAGCCTTCTGACCAGGCAGGGGTGGGTGGGTAGGCAGTCTCAGGCCAGTGGCAGCTGTTCTCCCTGGGCCCAGGCAGGAGAATGCTGGTATTTGCTCCTTTCCTCCCTTGCATTTTGTGCAGGCTTGCTCTGTTGCAGAGATCATAGCCACATTTCTAGGACAAAGAGTGGATGAAGGATGAAGATACTGAGGTTTGAGGATGTTGAGAAATGTCAGCAGCCCTCCATGGTGTGTATTGTTAACCAGGTGTTATGAGCCTAAGTGAGTTCTCTCTTCCTGTCCCTATCTTTCCCTGAGCTTCAGGGTGCCGGGTGCAGCTGGAGGGGAGAAGCCTGGGGCCCCTGCAAAGGTAAGTGGTTCTCACCCCTACTCCCCAAACTCACTTTTCATGGCACAGTTACTCCATCCTTGGTTGGCCCCCTCTTCCCCTGCCAACCTTAGGGTGCCACTGAGAGACTGGCACCAGATCCAGCCCTGCCTTGCCATCAAGCTGGCTCCTTCCTGATCACCCTGGGATAATTCAGGCCTAAATGTGGTTGGACCTCCTCCCTTGTGCAGGAGCCTCCTTCCAACATCCCCCTTGAGCCTGGCAGTCAGGCCCTGCAGCATTGAACCCCCGTTACTTGTCCATGTGGTTTGGGTACTAACCCTTGAAAATGGTTCACCTGCGGCCCACTCCAAAGCCTCACCATGTCCTGGTTGTCTCACTCTCCGGCCACTGCAGAACCTGAGGCTTTCCTAGTTACGGTGCATTTGCCCAGGCAGAGTATCTAGCCTGCCATCCAGCACTGCCCAGCTTAGTTCAAATGCCAACCACCTCAGCTTTCCCTGGGACCTTGACTGTGCTCTCTAAATTGCTCACATCTCCCAAACCCCATCAGAAATTGCTTCCCCAAGACTGAGCTCTTATGAGGCAGGAACCCAATTGCCTCTCAATAAACATGTTGCCAAAAAAGGAACGGATGAGTCTCTGTAAATTTGTCTTGTGAGTCCTTGACACAGAAGATGCTCCTCTGCCTGGTGACTGGCTAGAGGTCTTCCACCTAACATCCTGGGCGGATGCTGGCGCCGCCCTCCCTGGCTCTGGCTGTTGTCTTGGTTTCCACCAGTAGTTGCTGCTGCCCCCTGGTGGCCAGAACTTGCCTAGCACCTGCTGGAACTGAGCTAGCACTTAGGAGCTACTAGGTTGGCAATTTACCTTTTACCTCCACAAAGTGAAATTTACTTGACCTTCCCTGAGAACTTGAATATTAGGAGTCTTGGAGGCATGGTCAAGGGCAAGAACATCCTGATTTATGCCAGCTCCTCCTTGAAGAAATCATGTAATTTGCCATACACATCCCCCATGATGATACCAGGTTCTCTTAGACACCAGCTTTACCTACCCCAGCAGGGAGGACCACGTCATTCGACCATGCTTTGTTACTACTGAGGATAGCCATCTCCCTCCAGTCCTTGCTTGAGTAGGGGACAGTCGGCCGACAGTAACACAGGGAAGGGATGGCCATGAGTGGTCTCAGCCAGCTAGCCTGATAGTACCTGCATTGTAGTAAGCTCTCAAACCAACAGTGGTTTTGGTCAGGGGATAGGAGAAGTCCTGGGGTGATGGATGTAAGGCTACTGGGAGAACACTTAATAACATTTCTTGGTGAGGCATTCATCCAAGTAGGTCTCCCTTGGCTTGCCCCTTCCCCCACGATGTCTGGCTGGTTTCACGCCTCTGGCCCCTGCAAGAAGGAAGCTATTGGCCACATGTTTGGGTACTAACCCTCGAAAGCCTTACCTGCGGCCCACTCCAAAGCCTGGTCCCGACAGAGGGCGCCACGCTTCCTCCCTGCAGAACTAGGGAAGTGGGGGGACGTAGGTAACTGCCATTCCTCACCGCTAGCCAGCAAGCGCACCAAGGTCCCCTGAGGGTCAGGGCCAGCCTAGGTGAGCAGACACGATTCCTGTGCCATAGCCTCCTGGCACCACCGTAGCTACATCTTATAGGGTAACAGGCCAGGAGCTGATTTCAGCCATGCTACATAGCCAGAGATGGGGGCTTTCCCCAGAGCTTGAAACTCTCTGGTTCCTAGAACCCGGCTGCTAGGGGTAGAATCCTCCAATCAATAAGTTCCTGTCCGAGGGAGGCGGCCGAGATGGCCAATCAGAGGGTCCTCGCCAGAAAGGCGGAGCCTGCCAATCAGGGGTGCGGGTAGTGGAGCGGCGGAAACTATCCAGCCTTGCCCACTGGGGGCGCGCCTTGACGCGCCGGGATGGGAGTGGGAACTGCGCTTACGAGCCAGAACCCTGTTTCTCAGCTGCCTCAGTTTCCCTGGGAATTTGAAGTGACCTAGGGCCGGGACCCTGGTAGAAAGGAAACAAGCCGGAGGTGGGCTCGGGAGGCTGCCTGGTGGAGGTGGTGCTGGCTCGGGGGCGGGGCCTCCTTAGCCCCGCCCCCGCATCGACCACTTAGCCGGCTTCGCCGGGCGCGCAGCCTCCAGTGCAGCTGGCTCCGGGCTATGGACACCCCCGGGGCCCCAGCCCCGACCGCGGCTCCGCGCCCGGGCAAGAAGGAGCTGAAGATCGTAATCGTGGGTGACGGCGGCTGCGGTAAGACGTCGCTGCTCATGGTGTACAGCCAGGGCTCCTTTCCCGAGGTGAGGCCCGCCGGTGGGTGGGAGGGGCTTGGGACCACTGGGGATGAGGGACATCCTCAGACCGCGCCTAAGCCTCGACTCGGAGGTCCCGAGGTCCTGAGTCTTTAGAGGCGGCTGCCACTCCGGGTAATCCCCTGGGAATTCCAGAGCCCAGGGGGCTGCGGAGCACTGAGCTGGATGGGGTGAGATTGGTAGGCAGTGGGGGTTCAACCAGACCCTGGGCCCCCGCCGCACCCCCTAAAGACCACCCCTGCTCTTCCTCCTACAGCAATACGCCCCGTCAGTGTTTGAGAAGTACACGGCCAGCGTGACAGTGGGCAACAAGGAGGTGACCCTGAACCTCTACGACACGGCCGGTAAGTGCCCCAAAGAGCACAGTTTGCTCTCCAGGGGTTTCCCCGCTGGGGCATCCCTGTCTGGCAGCCTCTGCCCAGCCTTGCTGCTCCATCAGACCAGGAGGCAGTACAGGTCTGCTAGCTTAGAGGCCGAAACCACCAACCGAAACCACCAACCGAACCGTCCCACCTGTAAATGGAGGAGATTGGATGAGGTGAACTCCTGGGCCACCCTCCCWTGTCTGTGCTGAGAGCCCCCCTCCCCCCTGCCTGGCTTGTTTCTCTCCTGTGGTTCTAGAAAACGTGGGCAGCGCTTCTGCCTTCCGTGGTTCCAGGATTTCATGCGTTACTTGCTGTGGTCTCTGAAGATTCTGTGGGCTGCGGATTTGAGTCCCCGGGGAGTCTGAGCTGCCTTTCTGAATCCTGTGATTCTAGGATACTCAGCTCCCCATCCAAGCTGGGTACTGGCACGCTGTGGCTGGCAGTTCTGTGTCTGTGTCCCTTGCTTCTGGGATTCCATGGACTGCAGTCCCTGGTTCTGGAAATCTGTAGCTATAGTTGACTTTGTGCTTTCCTGGTTTGTCTGGAGGAAAAACCAGACAACTTAAGAAAATGAACTGAGGAAGAAAGAGGAGACCTCTAGGAAACATAGGCCCCAAATAAGCCTCTAACACCTGCAGCTCCTCACAGGGGGGGTTTATGGTTTTCTGGCCAGAGGCATGAGAATTGAATTGGGGGGATGGGAGAAACACAGTGGGAAGACCCTACTTACTTCTGGGTGACCTCAACGTTGGAGAGCAAAGGTTGGGATTCCCAGGTGGAACCTCACCCAGTTCTGTGACTCAGTCATCATTGACTTGGGTGGAACTGTGTCACCAAGTGTCCCTTCCCCTGCCTACCAAGCTTTGTGCATGTGAGGTGAAGTCTCTGACCCTCCTAGATGAAGCCTTAATCTAGATATTCCCCTTGGACAAAGGCTGTCCCTGGCCCAGTCCTCTCCTCTATTCCTGCCATGAGCAGGCTTTGCTTGTAGGAGTGACCCACCCTTATAGTAGCCTCTGAAGATCCCTGCTTTTGGATGAGGGCCCTGCAGGGCTGCCTGCAGAGAAGAGCGGTGCCTCCAGGCCTAGGTGAGCTGGGAAAGCCAAAGGAACTCCCAAGGCAGGGTCCAGAGGGCAGTACAAATATGTCTGGGACACTTTTATTTTCACATTTCTTGTTCAGGAGTCAGGGATGGGCAGGGCTTTATGAGTGGAGTGCTGGGGGGAGGGGGAGAGAGCTTGCTTTCAACCTGAAGGCTCTGGGAGAGGAGAGGGGAGTTTGCTCTCTCCTCCTCCCTCTGCCAGGCCTCTCCTGTTAGATACCAGAGTTTTCTGTTCATGGCAACCTCCCCCATCAGTCCAGAAACAGAGATCACTTCTGGTTTCTGGCTTCACCCAGAGAAAGATGCTCAAAGAACACCTCGGAGTAGATTGTCATGTGAAGGTTCCAGAAACTTGCTACTTGGTGGAAGAGTTTGTAATAAGAGGCCCTTCTGGAGGGATGGAGGGAGTGTCTGTTAACTGTCATTAGAAGCTTGTGAGTGCTGTGCAGTGATGGTGCTGTCCACAGCTCCCTGCCACCTGTTTTGGAGTTAAACCGGGCTCCTCTGGCTGGGTATCATTGGGAACATCCAGTTTTCTCTTCTGCCATCAGGGCTAAAATGGTTATGAGGATTAAATCAGAATAATATGATGTGTGGCACTTCACACAGCAGCTGGCTCTGAGGAAGGTACATGTTGTCACTGGGATTTAATTAAATCCTCCTGCCATTCAAGGCCCAGGACCCAGCCCAAGCCTGTGCTTTAGGATCCAGGGCCCAAGAGCTCTATGCTGGCCCCCAGGTCTGGCTGTACGGGGGACAGCCATCTTCCTGGCAAGACTCTTCCAAGCTGCAGAAAAGCAGTGCTGGGGTTTGTGCCCTCCGTGAATGTGTGTGTGTGTATGTTTTGGGGGGGGGGGGTATCAGGGAGGTGTCCTCWTAGTCAGCACAGTAGATCAAGGAGGGATTCTCAGTGGGGAAGGAATCTAGCTGCTCCCTGTGACCGGGGAAGCCCTGCTGGTGGGAGGAAACTCCCTGGTTGGTAAGCAGTGCGGGGATGAGCCCGGGTCATTCCTCCTATGTATCAAGTGCTTGTCATAGAGGCAACTCAGGAAATGACCGTGGAATGAATGAATAATACATCTGAATGTTGGCGGCCATTCAGCTCTGCTGTGGGGAGGGAGGATGGATACTGGGAGAACTGGGCAGAAAAGGCTGGCCAGGTGATCATCGAGAGGAAGGAGGAGGCTAAGGAGGGGAGGGGAATGGATGAAGTAGAGATGAGTCTAGTAAATGTTGTAGAAAGTTCCAGAATGATGGGTTAACCCTGGTGAGGGAGAGGGGCATCTTCCCCATCAGTGGTGACCAGAGCTATGAGAATTGAGTGGCCCCAGGGTGGCTGAATTTCTCAACACACCCGACCAAGTGACAGCTGTGGGCGGTGCCAGGACCTTGCCCACAGTGCCCGCGTGCAAGGCCAGTCTGGCTGCCTGTCTCCATCCTGCGGAAGCAGTTACAGACACCCAGCGGTCTGACAGAGCACCCTCTGCTCAGAGGTGGAGAGAGGGTGGGGCCCAGAGCACCCATTGCTCTAGTAGCCTGGCCCCACCCTGACATCCTCAGAGGCAGGAAGCTGTGGTGAGGCCTGAAGGTTCCTGGGCAGGATGGCAAGGCGAGGAGGGGGCTGCGACACCAACTAGAGACTGCACTCTTGGGCCTGGGGATGGGATCCAGGGTGAAAGGGGCACAGAGTGGGTGGGGAGCCTGAGATGGGAACAATAGGAAAAGAGAGGAGCAAAGGAGCTGCTAAGACAAGGAATCAGAGGTGAGGGTGCTGTGGAGCCCTGGAGCCAGCCAAAGCTGGGGACCAGTCAGAACATGGTT